ATGTCTAACAGCATGCATAGGAGTCTCTAATTCCCAATCAATACTGTGAACTTTAAGCTGAGGTCTAGTTACATATATTATTCACAAGTATCCTGCGTCCCAAACTCATAATTAGCATGTAGTTAATACAACAGTTAAATAGAACCCAAGATTTTTTTCTTTTATACGATGATCCCTTTCCCCCCAAAACTTGCTGAAGGCAAACAGCAAATGGAAAATGAGGTGGTCACCATGATAGATCATTTCCACGGGCCTGAAATAGGTTTCATGATTATTATACCAAACATCCGTTAGCCTACACGGCTTCACATAACCATTTTATACAACAGAAAAGATGATTATTCACAAACATTTGGTCACACAGTTAGCTGGAAGGCAGATGTCAAATGTAAAACCCACAAAATTAAAGCAGAAAGAAAAAGGTCATTAAGGTAGTTCTTGCCCAAAAACTTTTCCACGGCTGAGGAGAAGAAAAGGAAGGGAGGGTACCTGGCCTTTACAGCCACCTTGGTCATCTCATTATGTATGCTGGGCTCTGTTTGCCGAAAGGCCCCTGTTTGGGGGAAAACGCATATATCTCGTAATCCGAAGACTGTATTGCTATCTCAGTATACTCTCCAGCCTTATGGACGCATGCCTGGAATGTTAAAAATTGTCTCCCAGCTAATCTGCTGGGACTCTGGCTGCTCTGCTTCAATCCATGTTGGGTACATTAACATCAGCATTCCTAAAACACCCATTTGATCCTGTCATGCCCTTATTACATCCGGAACAGAGTCCAACCTTCTCACTCTACAGACCAGATCAAGATTCGCTACAATCTGGCGTCCTTTTCATCATTGAAATTTATCTATGACTTGTTTCCACAAATTCTCTGCCTGTGTCCCGTGACCTCTTCCCTGTGTTACACGTGTCCAGAGGCTGGTTCCTTCCTTGGCTCTTGTTCCCCTTCTTTCCACCAATCCGATCCCATCCTTCAGGGATGCATTCTTCTGGTCCGTTTCCTACCCTTTCGTGAGTTCCACTCTGCAATTCACTGACTGAAGCACTGCTCTGGTCTTTACCCTACAACCTTCCATTTTTTACTGGCTGATCCTGATGTGAATACGTGCTCTTTGATTGCAAGCCCCTTGAAGGCAGGGGCTCACTCTCTCATGCTTTCCCATGGTACCTTCCAGGTGCCTCAGGTATTTACTCACTATTTGGAAGAACATAAGTAATTTAATAGCAGGATATGAAAGGCTAGTTGAGGAAAGAGGGGAAAAGAATGTTAAGTCCAATTGGACCAACTAGTGAAATCATCACGAGGAGATGATACTTTAAGTGAGACTTGAAGTATGAGTAGAAGAAAACAGTGAAAC